CAATTCTGGAGAAAATAAGACAAATGTAGCACATGCTGTCTAATCCCATTGACATGTACTTCACCTTATTAGGGAAACTAAAGGAAAAGTTAGTGCTTGCATTTTCACAGGAGAGGCAGAGCTCTCAGAGGTGCGCTCATTACCCTCCCTGCAGCAACCACCAAGGGCATGGCAGGGATTGACCGTCGTGGCCTGGCTCACCTTGGAGTGAGCAGGTACACACAGCACCACAATAGGGTGTGGGGGTGCAGGTCTTGGTAAGAGGGCTTGGGAAAGAGCACGAGCCCTGAGCCCACAATGTGGGGTGGTGGTGGGAGGGTCACTGTTCCTGCAGTCAGCCAACAGGAACAAGCCTATGAGGGATCTTCTCATATCCCATGGACAGGGAGGGCACAGGAGGTCAAAGCTAACAGTAACTGGTGTCAGCGTGACAGCCGGGAGTGTGCTGGCTTGGAGCTCTAAGACTTGGCATGTGCCTTGGTTCCTCTGCCCTGACCTGATTACAGAGGGTCTTGTGTTGTGTTGGCCTCTCATGGTCAACAGCCGTCCTGGGTGTGATGCTGATGGTTTGTTTCCTGCTGATGCTGTAACACTGAACACACCCTCAGTGACTTCAACAGTTCAAGTGCATTGCCTTCCTTCTGGAAGATACATGTCAAAATCGACCTCAGGAGACTAATAGCAGGCTGCCTCCTCCTGGAAGCCCTAAGGCAGAACTGTCCTTTCCCCATCCCACCTTCTGGAGACCCCTAGAGCTCTGGCCCCTGGCCCCCTTTCTCCATCCCCATCCATATTTGGAGTATTGGGTAAATGCCTCATTCCGGCATTTCAACCATTCTCTCTCCTGCCTCCTTCTCACTTTTAAGCATCCTGTCATTACTTTGGACTCACTTATATAATCCATATTTTAATATCAGCCTATTAGAAGCTTTAATTCTGTCTACAAACTTTTCTTGGCCATGTAAACTAACACACTGACAGATTCCTGCAATTGCTACATGGAAGTCTTTATGAAGCCATTTTCTCCCTACCATGTTGGCATTAAGTTAACTTTGCAATTTTAAAATAAATTCAAGGTCAGTTTTTAACAAGACCAAAGCTCAATTGCTAATCCCCCCTCAGCTCTGGATGCCTCAGGCTGTGTTCTCTAGCCACGAGTACTCCATTTCTCACCTCAACAATCTATACAGCAATTGGTAGGTAAGTTTACTTTGGCATATGCAGTTCACTATAGCAGTACGATTCTTTCACTTCATTCATTTATCTATTTCAATGAAATTAAAATTGAAACTATTTCAATAGCTATTTAAAACATATTACAAATATTTCAACAGAAATAAGAAAATTTGACTTTAAAAGCAGACTGTACCCATGTGCTCTATCAATCACATTCTGCATCTGATTGGGATTGGACACTTTGCTAAAAGTCAGCACCTGTAGACAGGAAACACATCACAGAATCAGTCTGTGACACCTGGCAATGTGAGAGCTCTCCCCAGCACTGTTGCTGTTATAATGGATGTTGTTACCTAGACACAAAGATGCAAACATACAAATAAAGTAAAACTCTCTTTCATAAATGCAAATTGGCACCTGTACTTTAGCATTGATTCTCTTAAATTTAGTTAAAAGGGGACAAAAAAAATAGCTGAATTCTACCCTTGGCTTCATTTCATTCCAGTTATAGTTTTTGACAGTGGCTGATATCAGTGGTTCATTTTTTAATCTTCTCTTTTATTGAAATTCAGAAAAGAAATATCAGGATCCTATAACTTCACACATAGATGTGTTTTAAAATCATGACCTTTTCCCAGGACACGTATTTACATTTTCTTTTTACTCCGGAATGATCCTCTATTATTTTATGACTCATAGCTTTCTGAAGCATACAAATAAGTCAGAATCCTGGGAATCTTTAAAACAGCCCTGAAATCCAAACCTCTCTGACCCTGAAGTGTCACGTCACGTGGCTCTGGCTAATGAGAGTGCTTCCAGCCCCTGTGGGTACAGGTCACACACCCTGTAGCTGTGCATGGGCACTGATATACTCCAACTGGACACAGCAGCAGCAAGTCACTCCTGCAGCGCGAGGGGACTGCGACCATGCTTCTCACAGAGGACGCAGATGCAGCCTGCTGCAGTCACTGTCCCCTCACATGGGTAGGGGATGCCAGTCCTAGCACTTCATGCTCAACAAGTTTGAGAAAATCCTCTGTTCCCTGTTGTGCTTGTTACGCCCGGAGAGCTGCAGCGTGTGTTAGCTGGTGCTCACCAGCTGGATTCTTTAACAGCCCATGGATTCCCTCAAATAAAAGGTCTGTATGATATTATTTGCTACAGAAGATCATCTCAGTACACTGGGTATGAAACTTAACATTTTAATATCAAATTTTGGCGAAGAGTCTGAAAAAAAGTATAGAAAAGAAAATTACAGGCACTGCTTTAAATTTCCCATGATCACCCAAAAGCTTTTTAAAAAGGAAGAAGGGCAGGGGAATGCTGTGCTCCTCACAGCATTGCAAAGACAGGGAAAAAGCAACCGTTTTCACATCACTCTAAGAAAAAGCTGTGGAAGCAGATGGAAATGTGGGTAAGAAATCTCCAAACCCATGAAGTCAGAGGGAAGAAAGAAAAAGGAAATTTTTGTTTTTCAGGATAATACATTTTTTCAACCCTGGGATTTGAGCTTCCTTTCCTCCTTTTAATGGCATGTTGTATTTTATTTTCGAGCAGAGTTAACGCTTTATTACTCTTTTAGCAACACTTTGTATCCATGATCATTGTTCTAGAAATGAACCCCAAATAATCCTATTTGCATAGCTTTGCAAATATTTTTAACTAGTGTCAACTTACTTCATTTGTGTAATATAAAATTAAACACAAGTAAAAACTTTGTAATGGACTGAAAAGTCATGGGAGTTGTTGAATTTATTCTCTAAAAATTCATAAGCCTCTCTTGCATGACTTAAGCAAAAGGATCACTGAAGTTGTCCTATTTCATGTGACATCTTATCACTTTATTAAAGTAAAAGCTGTAACATCTGTGGTCAAATGTCTGTTAAACGCACATAAATGCTCAGGAAAGTGCGTGGAAGTGCAAGGCGGCCACTGATGTGTACAGGAATAAGCAAAGTGTGCTGCCCACAGCCAGTGGGGGCACTAGTGACCCTCGAGAAGGAGGGAACTCTAACACACCAAGCAGCACCCATGCACCCGAGTCAAGGTCATGGACAGCAGGTAGTGCAAACAGACAAGGATGGGAGTGACTTCCTCCAGGTGCACTTCCTAGAGTCACAGATTTATAGAGGGAGAGAGAATGGAGGCTGCTAGTGGCCTGGGAGAAGAACGAGGAGTTCTCTCTAATGGTGCACGGTTCCATTTTGGGGAGATGAAAAGAGTTTTCTGGTGAGAGTTGTACCATTATGTGAATATACTTAATGTCACTGTGTCACTGTTCACTTAAAGATGTTTAATACAGTGCAAAAAATTAAAGGAACTTGCCCAACATCCTAAAGTTACTGAATTACATAATGATTTCTAAACAGGTTTTAAGCTTAGTCCATCTTTAACACTGAGAAGTTGGAGTAAGGAAGAATGGGTTAGGGTTTCCTCCAGCCTTGGGAAGCCAGTGAGAGCCATGGCCAGGGTTTTCATGTGGTCACCAGGCACACAGATCATGCTTCAGAGATTCGGGGGAGTGCAGAGCACAGAGGTTGGCAGGTGAAGACATATTTGACAAAGAAGTATGTCCACAGGATGGAGCAATCCAAGGCAGGATGCTCTCCAGTTATGGCTAGCATTTGGACTTAGGGTGGATCTTGGCACTCCCTAAGAGCTGCATACCTTCTACCATGTATGATGAAGCAGGCAGCATCCCTGAGGACAGACTAGTAGCCATATCTGTCCAGTTCTGGGCTTCTTCATCCAGTTCTAGCAGGAGAAGATCAAATACAAAAATTGACTTAAAGATTTTGATTCTATGGGGAATGAGGAAGAAATTAATGTTTCTGCACACTTTTGTAATAAAGAAGCAGGATTTTTCCTTACCCAGTAAATAGTGCATTTTTGCTACTGCCAGGAACAATACAAAGTACTGTTGAAGGATTAATGAGAGGGTGCATTGAGCAAGAGAGCTCCACACTAACAAACTCAAATAACACTGATTAAGTTTAAAACTGTGGAAGTGACTAAGGTACTACCAACTTCACATGAGGTTATGCTTCTGTCTGCAGACGCTGTCTTCCTGCCTTCTAGATCTGAGAAGGTAAGCCCTCCAGTTTTAGAAAGGGCTTTCCAGATTCAGTCGACGTCAGGGAAAACATTATGATTTGGGTAGTTTAACCAATTTTCATGTGTTTTAGATTTGGAATCTTCATTATTAAGTACATCATTTTTTGAAAGTAAGATATTGACAATTCATCTCTAACAATATTGATCATGCAGGACACCATTAAAGCATCAATGTGAATGACACATGAACACCATTTCCTGCTCACCCATTTATTTGGGCACCAATTAACTAAAAAGCCTCTCTTGCATGTCAGTTGCAACTTCTCAAGAATTAGAATTTGGTTTGCCAATTAATCAACACTCAACCTAGGAGGCATTTATCATGTGTAACTTCAAAATGACAAAAAAAAAACCTTTAAGTTAATTTTATCTTGATTTAAACATGTTTGAAAAGTAGATGAAGCCGGGTGCGGTGGCACATGCCTATAATCCCAGCAGCTCGGGAGACTGAGACAGAAGAATTGCAGGTTAAAAGCCAGCCTTAGCAATGGTGAGGCACTAAGGAACTCAGTGAGACCCTGTTTCAAAATAAAATACAAAACAGGGCTGGGGATGTGGCTCAGTGGCCGAGCACCCCTGAGTTCAATCCCCAGCACCAAAAATAAAAACAAGAAGAAAAATGAAAGATAAAGGATTTGAAATAGATTTCATTATTACACATGTGATTATTTAGAAGGATATAAATAACAAGGGGCATTTAAAAAATTAATCTCTCTCCTATGTTTCCACTGACAGTGTCTCTTCTGTTGTTTGAAATCATGGAAAGTGGGAACACCAGTTCTGACTTCATTCTCCTAGGTCTCTTGGGCCACTCCAGGGCCCAACAGTTTCTCTTTGGGATGGTGCTGACAATAGCTTTCACCTCCCTAGTGAGCAATGCCCTAATGATTCTCCTGATTCAGTGGGACCTCCGGCTCCATACGCCCATGTACTTCCTCCTGAGCCAACTGTCCCTCATGGACGCCATGGTGGTTTCCACCATTGTGCCCAAAATGGCTGCTGACTACTTGACTGGAATCAAGTCCATCTCCCCTGCCGGCTGTGGCTTCCAGATCTTCTTCCTTCTCACTCTGGGTGGTGGAGAGTGCTTCCTCTTAGCAGCCATGTCCTATGACCGCTATGTGGCCGTATGCCACCCTCTGCGCTATCCCATGCTCATGAGCTGGCCACTGTGTCTGAGGATGACCATGGGGTCCTGGTTCCTGGGAGCAGCTGACGGGCTGATGCAGGCAGTTGTTGCCCTGAGCTTCCCATTTTGCAGCAGGCGAGAGATAGACCATTTCTTCTGTGAGGCCCCTACACTGGTGCGCTTGGCTTGTGCTGACACGTCTGTCTTTGAGAATGTCATGTACATCTGCTGTGTGTTGATGCTCCTGGTGCCCTTCTGTCTCATCCTGACCTCCTACAGTCTCATCCTGGCTGCTGTCCTCCACATGCGCTCCCCAGAAGCCCGCAAGAAGGCCTTTGCCACTTGCTCCTCACACGTGGCTGTGGTGGGGCTCTTTTATGGAGCTGCCATTTCTAACTACATGAGACCCAAATCCTACAGGTCAGCTCACTATGATAAGGTGGTGTCAGCCTTCTATAGCATCCTCACCCCTATGCTGAACCCCCTCATCTACAGCCTGAGGAACAGCGAGGTCAAGGGGGCCCTAAGAAAGTGTATGGCCAGTGTGTGGCCTTGAATAATGACTACAAGGTCATCTACTTGCCCAAACAGGAAGGCCTGTACTAAGACCTTGGTATTTCTAGGGAGAAGGTATTTAACTTTCAAATATACATAGATATAGATATAAATATATTTTTTCTGCTTTACTCTGGATCATGCGTGAAGGTCCACACTTTGAGTTTGTTTACTGAGCTGACTTCAGCAGGTCAAACTGTGTATTGTTAAAACTCTGTCAATTAAAATGTCAGTAATATTTCTATGTTATGCACTACAGTGGTTTCTTTTTAAAATAATGAACTAAGTGTCCAGTAACTTTGAGGATTGAGGTTCTTTGCTGCCCGTCAGTGTAGGATTTCCACAGTTGGGAGCTTAGACTGCAGGCATCCTCTTCAGAGGTTTCCACAAGTCTCTGCACTTGCAGCTCACGCCCACCTCAAGCAACATGGCCCACTGAGGCAGGAAGGCGGAGCACCCCTTGGGACAGGACCTGAGCCTCAGCAAGGGAACGAGGCAGGGAGGCTGTGCAGTCCTGGAGGAGACATGGGCCTGGATAGCACTCTTCACTGCCCCTACGGCGTCAGCAGTGGGGGCTCTTCCCTAGTGTCCTTCCCCTCCTCCAGCCACGGCCAACCGCAGAACCTGTAAAGCGCTTCCTCGTGGACAGCAGAGCCTCGCCCCAACCCTAGTGCTAATGGAGGCTTGGAAATTAAAGGAAGCTTGGAGTTTGAGCTCCTGAGACGGGAGCCCCCAGCCAGCGCATATGGAGCTGCAGCGTCGCAGGACGGCGCCCCCTGCCGGTCCCACGAGGCTGTGCAGCTGCGCGGTTACCCTGGCCCTGGGCGTGGCCGCTCTGAGACTGTCTAGAGGCCGAGTGGCCGCAGGCGCTGTCTGTACCTGGGTGTTTCCCTCCAAGGTCAGGTCGCTGGTCAGAGTCCCGTGTCGCACTTCGGTGGGTCTGCTGTTTTCCTGCCAGTGGTCCTCCCTGGCTGGTGCCTTCGCGTTCCTCGGCCTGGCCCATCGCTTAGAGGAGAGGTGTCTGCGCAGTGTGCAGTGCGAGCCTCAGTGACCGAGCTGTCTCCAGCCTCTCTATGTGTCACATGCCTCTGCTCCTCTAGGCGATGGCGGTGACTTACTCAGCCCCTTTTCAGAGCGTTTGCTGACTTCAGCCAGCAATGAACACGGATCCTAACTGTTCCCAGTATTATCGAAACTTTTCCATTTTGGCCAATTCTTGTGAGCACTTGGCTTTTCATTTGAATTTTCCTGATGAAGAATGGGCCTTGAGGACTTGTCCTTAGCGGATTGTCTATGTACTTATGTTCCTTTTTGTGTTTTGAACTATTTCAGTTTTGGAAAAGGAGTCTGTGGATACTTCCAAACCAAACACAGCCATAGATTTCATAACAAAAAGTATAGAGCACTCAGAACACTACTGGGAGTTTTAGAAAAAAAAATCATGAATTTTCTGACATACCCTGTAAATAAATGCCCAAATAAATTAATATGTATATGTGTGATATTTCTCTTCCACCTCCTCTCTTTTGCTAGAAACTGTAACTTTATTCCTTTTAATTATGATTTCTTACAAACTACTGGTCTTCCATTGGAGGGCAGATTCCACTGAAAATCTAAGAGCTTTTTAAAATTGGGACTTGGGTGTTTTGGAACAATCTTTGTTTAACAAATGTTTACATACTCCCAATAATTAATAAGGAATAAATTTGACACCTTTAAATAAATTGTTGAATTTGCAAAGAAAATAAATTTGGCTATGCATTTTTAATAGACCTATCATTCACACATATTTGTGTGATCTTCAAAGACAAAGCTAGTGAATTAAAAAACCATCCCAAGGCTGTGGTTTAAAATACCACCTACAGTGATTACTGTTGTGTTTCTTTTCTCCTCTTCTGCTAATCTTGTCTTGATCTGGTTCCCATCTTCACCACCTTTCCTTCTCTTGAATATGTCTCAATGTTGTCCCTGGTCAGGTGATGGAAGCTGCAGAGGACTCCAAGCAGAGCAGGAATAAAATATGCTGAGGAAACAGAGCAGGGTGCAGAGGCTCAGAAAAACTTTATTTTTTCTCTTAAAATTGTTTTTTCTTGATCTTTTTTCTTCTTGTTATCATCATTACCATAAATTTAATTCTACATGATTAATTGATGGCAAAACAGTCCATCCCTTCTCCCCTGAGAGCCAGCCTCGCCATTGCTCCCCCTGGAGTGCCAGGGATGCCCTAGGTGTCCACCACTGTCACCATGATACTTAGGCCCGCTCCCGCCCCCTCCTTCCCAGGCCATGCCTTGGGGACTGGCTCCTTCTGCTGCCCTATGGAAAGACCACTGTTTTCTCCCTGAGGCCGCTTGCCACAGGGCTCCCAGTGAGGACCTGCCTCCTGTGCTTCTGATTACTAGTTCCAAATGACTCTTGTGCAGTGCGTTTGCCAAATCCATCCCATCTGAAAGAGTGCCAAGTCCAGGCAGCTCTGGTGCCCTCAGCCACTCCCTTGGACGTGTCTCTTTGCACAAGCCAGGGCTCAGGGCCACTGGGGTGAGGGTGACTGATGCCCCAGTGAGTAGAGGACACTAACTGAGAAATGCTGCCTGTGGTGTTTACCTGGTGAGGTCCAGGGAGGTGGAGGTGGCCCTGCAAGTGCACAGTGGGACTCGGGGCTCCTGGGTGAGCCTGCAGCAGAGCGCACACCCACCTCAATGCCTCACCAGTGCACTGGGCATCCATCCTGCCAGGCCTGCCTGGTTCTGGGGGACTGATCTGTTTGCCGAGAGCATGAGGTCCAGTGGAGGGGGACTTTACCACTGAATTTAGAGAACTGAAGACGCTGAAGCCTCTGAGAGTGCTGGGTGGAGGGTGTGTGCTGCAGAAAGCAGCCAGGCTTGGAAGGGAGGCAGGTAGGTAAGATCCACCACCCAAACTCTCAGACGCAGTGGAAGGCCTGCAGACCAGGACTTAGAAGGAGTGAGGAAATGTGATGGAGCAGAGTGTGTGTGTACTTAAAAGTGAGTTCCAGAAGAAATGTCTGCATTAGGAGGAAACTGTATGTGTATGTGGCAAAACTAGAGGCAGCTAATTAATTCAGTTTTCTTTAAAATAATATTTTAAATTTTCATCTCATAAAATGGTGCATGCTAAGCATTTTGAGTAACACGTACTAGAATTGTGCTTGGTTGTGGGTTCCTCAAATTACAACTTAATAGAAATTTTCAGAGCAGCCAATAAATGTCATGAGAGGCAGTAGAAATTTTCCCTTCCCAGATCTCACTTGCCCAAGTTAGTGAATTTTATTTTCATTAATATGTTCCTAGAATAAATTCTGATTTCAAAATGTACAACATTCTTCAATAAGTACATGTATATATACATATATATAAACATACATACTGTTTCCCTTCTGAGTTAAAAATTAACTTTATGCCACAAGTCAACTTTCAGAAATTAATTCAATACAACAAATTAATAACAATTTTATTTCAATAAATGTAACACCAATGGCAAATATCAGTAGATTAAAAGAAATATAAATGTATAAAGTATAACACAAAATTTTGGCTTTGTTAATATAGAACATTTAGAGACAATGATATTCATGACCTATTTCTCCTAACAAAATCTGAGAAATAACCGTAAAAAAATTGAACAATGGTTAACTAAATTTTTCTGCATCTAGTTGAAATTTCCTATGTTACAAAACAAGAATCTGAAGACTTTAGGGGCGAAGGGGTACTGGGGATTGAACTTAGGTACACTGGACCACTGAGTCACATTCCCCAGCCCTATATTGTATTTTATTTAGAGACAGGGTCTCACAGATTTGCTTAGTGCAAGTGATTTGCTTTGGAAAACTGCTTTTAGTGAGGCTGTCTTTGGACGTGTGATCCTCCGGTCTCAGCCTTCCAAGCTGCTGGGATTACAGGCGTGCAATCTCATGTCTGCTCTCAAGACTTTTGATTTATAGGGGTGGGAAAGAGTTTCTGTGTCACCAGCGAAGTCCTGGTGTGACTATATTTACTCCTGAGTTTGGGCTCTGAAAGAATTCTCTTTGTCTACTGTGACCTTTCAATCTTGGCATTGATCTTGACATTGAAATTTCTTCTCCTGTTCATACCCTGTAGTGTTCTGATTGGCCTATTGCTTTCTTTCTATTACCTCCCTGCCCTTTTTTAAATGAAATTACCTAGAAGATTTATGCTGATGTTTTTCTCTATTCTTTTCTCCATACCACGGTCTATGTTTCCTATTTCCTTAAAATAAAGTGTCTGTTTTGACCTTGAATCAAAGTCTCTGTGAAGCATTAACCACACTGGTTAAACTTCAGATGTAACTGACTCATTGCTTATTTTAAATGATAAAACCTTAGGTATACAGAGATGCTTAGAAAATTTTACAAGATGTTATAGAAAAGCAGATTTAAAAGTTCATTAAAAAGTATTAAAATCATGTGGAGAACATATTTTGGGGCCAGCTTCCAAGGTTACAGAGGAGAGGTGGGTAAGAAGTCTGTGGTGCATGTCTCTCCAACATTAACAAGGATTTGTGGATCGAGGTGGGGAAACAGACTTCACCCTGGGAAAGAGTTGCATGTCCAGGGGAGAAGCTGCCAGGTGTGTACCAGGTTCTTTCTCCCTCCTTACACATTTAACTAGCTTGCTGCTAGAGCACTCATCTTTGGTTTCAGGTGTAACTCTGCCTGTCAATCCAGATGCCACTGAATGGCACAGAAGGTATAGTTTCATTAATAATCCTGGCATCTTAGGAGTGTGCTCCAGACCTGGGGTGATGGGTGGGCACAGTTGTGAAATGTGCCTGTGGAAATTCTAGATGCCTCATAGAAATTGCACCTGGAGGTAGAAGCAGGACACTGAGGGAGACAGGAGTGAGCGATGTTGGCTTCCCAGGGCTGCAGGGAAAATGTGGATGGCTGGTAGATGCAGTGAACACCACAGTAACACAGTCAAGTCAGAAATGCACAGGAGGAAGAACTTAGGAGCAACTGAA